AGGTTTTGGTACCCTAAACCAAATGAGATTTATAGAAAGTAGAAGGTCACTACTGCTATACAAGTATGATTTGAGAATCAGGAAAGGATAAGAATGAATCTTAGGATGACTCAGAAGTGACTAAGATAGAGATAAAATCAAAACTCGAGCAGGTTGCCCGAGGGCAGTCCAGGCAGACAAGTTTTGGGTAGGTATTTCCCCTTTAAAAAGGAGACTGAGGTATAACCCTAATCTTCTTTCACATTCTATACACTTTCCTTACATTATAGCTTTCTAGAAATAGATCTAGGATTTCAGCTTCGTGGTAGGCCCTTCGTCGGGAAGTGTTGGCGTTTGAGTTCTTTCAGATTTCAGCGGTTCAAGGACGATCGAAGCTCTCATTTGTCGGTTCTGTAGTGGTTCAGGATCTCCGACCTAACAACAAAGTATATAAACCCATCAAGATCTCGACAAACCATCTCACCTTAAATATCTTGTATCCCGAATAAAATTAACATGTAAACGAATCATCGAGGACTATTTCTCAAGTTCTCGTTCCAATAACCCCCATAATTCACTACACAATTTCTCTCTTATATATTTTTCTTCTTTTCTCCCTCTCTTAGTTGCTCAACAACTCACATTTTATTGTTTTGCTTTTCCATCAAGATTACAACCTTTTTCTTACTATTACTCTCCGATAATAGTGAGAGCTTGAATGTTTGGTGCAATGTTCACTTTCTCAACTGTTCATTTCTTTTCTTTATAAGAGTATCTCTGGTAGTGTGACAGGCTAAATTCAACATAGACTGAAATATGTTTGTTCTAAAATTTTAGGATGGAATCGATCGATGACCCAAATTGTATGCTTTAAAGTGTAATGGTTGAGTCTTTAATCAAATATTAAAATTTAAGGCTTTACGACACTTGAAAAATTCTTACCTAAGCCCAAACCAGTGCATGTGGGGTAGGCTTTTGAGTCATCAATGGGTTCATCTATAGATTAATGCGCTTGTGTAGGTTGATATAATATCTTGATCGATCTCTAGCCTATTGTTTGATTACTCGATTGCATGTTTCTAAACCCTAAGTTCTTATCAATCTTTTTAGCTCGAGGTTCTTAATGTTCTTTTTCTTTTCTTTGTTCCAATTTCATGACTTCTTGCTTTCTCACTAGTTCAATCCAACCAAAATCATGCGAGCAGAGTGCGTAGCTTTTATTTTTCGTTTTTCGTGATCAATCATTGTCCGCATTCAATTCCAAACGTCTTTCTCGAGAAACACAATCCGATGACGAATTTATCTCATACCCAGCTACAAACTACTTCACAAATATCATGCTATATACACTTTGAAACTTTTTGTCTATATATCTAGTGCTCCGGAACCCTATCTTGCAATTTTTGGTGCTTCGAAATAATCCATGTAGATATAAACTTTTATCCATGTTTTTTAGAACTTTTAAAATTCTAAAAACATGGTCAACTTAAATTATAAATATTTTTAGGATTTGATAACTTTTTATTTATCGTCAGTTTTTCATATATGATGTATGCATTAAATTATCTTCTGACGATGTCCGATTTAACATTCATATTGCATATAAAAAAAAAATCACACAATTATTTTGAGAAATATTTAGAAGTTAAAATAATATAACTTTATCATTTTAATTCTCATTTTATGTATAATATTAAATTAATATACTTGCAATACACGGGTATTGCACTACTGATTGATTTTGTTATTAATTGTAATTAATATTCAGTATCCCTATTTCCACTTAAATGATGACCAACCATGTGACCGTATGATTCTAAGAGAATTTACTTATTTATTCTTTGCTTTATTCTCTTTGAATATTAGCTCTTGTATGAGTCTAAGAGAATTGAATTGCTTATTCTTGTTTTATTCTCTTTGGATATTGGCTCTTGCTTAGGTAGTAGTTTGTTAGGCAAGTTGGCTCTTGAGGAGAAACATTGATTTAACTCTCCCAACAGTTTCTTCCTTGTTGACAGGCTAATAGAGTGAGAATGACTTGTAATCAGTTGGTTACGAGGTCACTTATTTCAAGTTTAATATATTTGTTTTTGTATGAAAAAAAAAA